ACTTGAATTTGTTTTTCTTCAGGATATAACAGATTATGATGATGTTAGATATTGTTGCTCGGGAGCCGATGTTTGCTCCAACTGTTGGCCTTTAATGACTGTTGCTATCAAAGTCATCGATACTTCCTTAAGAGGTATAAGAAAGATGCAACAAGAGTTGCTAGTGTTGAGGTTTTCCATCTTTATGAGTTTTTTCTTGAACTAGTTGCAATCTGTCAATACCGTACTCAATATCCGTTGCCATTGTAAAAAGAACTTTGTTGTTTTTTGCCAATGTGCAAGACTGTTTTGGTCTTATCACATAGGAAGAACATCCTAGTAGTAACTCGTTTTGGTCTTCCCAATTGCAGAGGATTTTGGTTACAGACACATTCTCTGGGTCTTCAGTGGACGTCGTGGAGTTCACTGTTGGGTTTGTGATGCTAAAGCTCGAAGGTGAAACAATTACAGAACAACCACCAACACCGTTACTCACTTAGCTTGGTGTATGAATCACTCTCTGCATTTCATCTTCTGCGTTTTGAAATAAAAACTCTCTGTAATCTAATCCTGCAGGTTGAATAATGAACAAAGATCAGCGGTTGTTGAATACTTCCGTGTTTATAAGGTGGTGTTCTCAAGAGCTAATTTGTGGTTTGTTTTGTTGGTTTTCTGGCACTACGAAATTCTCTTACTTATTGTTTATGTGACACAGGGAAATGAAAACAATGCAAGAAAAGTCGCTTTTATGGGATTTTCTCTTCATCCATTTCTTGTGTACGGGTTTCTCCACGACTTTTTCCTTTCTGATTTTTAAATAACTATCTCTGCTACTAATTTCATCTGGGCTAATCAGGAGATCGTACGTGAATTTTCTCAAGGATTTCTTTGAGGGTGAGTTACAAACAACTCAAAGTATATTCTCAAGCAAAGAAAAGTATGAAAAGATACTTGAGATGATTTCAGATGAAGGTATACAAGTGTGATGATGTATTTTTCCAGCTTACGCTAAGTCCTAACCTCGGTTTGGTCACTTACTATGATCTACATTTTTTCGGCAGATATTCGATCAGAGCTCAGAGAAAAGTGGGAGAATTCTGCGAGATCATCTCTATCAGAAGAAGCCATCAGCCGTACAAGGTGGGAGCAGCTTAAAAACACGCTTCAATCAAAGAAACAGAAGGTGTGTAACGTTTTCAAATGAATACAAAACGATGTATTGTAACTGTTGTGAAAAGCTTATGTCTTTGTCACTCAGCTTTTATCTTGATGAATGTGAACCTCAGATTTGCTCACCTTCAATCTTGTATCCAATGTCTCAGGCTCCAACGCTGCGGATGTGCGTAGAAGAAATTGTCTTCACCTTTACGTATCCTCGAATTGATTTAGGGGTTTGTTATAATCTATGCCACAATTTTCAAACTCGCCGTGCTATTAAGTTTAGTGACTGTTTCGTTGTATGGCTCCTTGTTTTAATTTCAGGTCTCAAAACAAATGAACCATTTGCTTAAGACACCCTTCTGTGTCCATCCATTAACAGGTCCCTTTCGTTGGTTCTTTGAATATATTACACCAGCTTGATAAGAATCGTGTTCATACTTAAGTATTGTTAAGAGTCTTCTGGTTTCAGGTAAAGTCTGTGTTCCTATTGACCCGAATAACTGCGATGAGTTTGATCCATTGGCAGTTCCAACACTTTCACAGGTAAAATAATATACAATATGATATGCATTAGAGTGTGGATCTGTGAATTAAATTCATCACAAAGAAATTGTTCCTTAAGCTTATGTTTCATATTGTAACAATTTTCAGCTAATAGAAGAAATCAACTCGGGAGGCGTCAGAATGGAAATGGATGATGATGGTACGTTGTTGATTATATAATCAGTGTTGAAATGTTTCGGATTAGACTTAAGTAGCATAAACAATTTCAGTTATTTAACCACATGCAGATATAGATGGAAGTTTACTTGGGAAATCAATCAAGTTCTTCAGATCCTCATTCCTAGAACCTTTGCTAAAATCCTGCAAGGTAAGTCTCTCGTTGCTCGACTTTTCCTCAAGGTTTTTGAATCGATGCATGATCATATCTAAAAAGAGCTCTGATGCAAGAAGGATGATGAAATGTATCTGCAGGAAGAAATAGAAAGTTTATACAAAACCAAAATTGAAAAGTCTAAGGATTCATTCAGCTGGTGACTTAAGGGTATTGAGTTTAATTCGGTTTTTTTCAGTCTTAGTTTTGATTTCAGTTTCTAATGTACGATCTGCGATAAGCGCTTTGTAATCTATCAGTAGACTAAGTCTATATCTTATTGTGATGGTTATTTCAATTTCATTTTAAAGATATACAAGTTTGGTTAAAAATTGATGTTGAACGAAAAAAAGATATGATATAGAATGTGATATCACAAACATCATTGGCATTCCATTCATTATATATACTAATGTTGGATAACTTCATTAAATAAAGTTTACGGTAAACTTTTTTTGTTAATTTTCTTTCGAAAAAAATGCTTCAAACTTTTCATATTGTGGTTTAGCAATTGATACCTCTGTTTTTGGATGGTTATAAATTTTGCACAAGCTGTATTTTTGTGACATGATTATACATATAAGTACTTGCAAAAACACTTATTTTAAGTTAACATCGGATTCACCCGAAATCCCGGGATCAGAATTGGAACATAGTACAATTTTAAAACACTTAAAATGACAAAATGATTATGACCAAGATTTGACTAAAATTTGAAAGTTATAAAACGTATAATATACAAACAAAAAAATATATAAAAGTAAAGAAAAATGATTTCAGACAACATGATTCGGATAAGATTTTAGACAAGAAGACCATTATTACTCCCACCTCTCACCCATGTTCTCTTCTTATTCTATAGGTGTGTGATTTGATTAGACACAAAGACGTTCAAATACGAATAAAGAGCTACATATTTAAGACTTCTCAAAGATCGTTTATCTTTGCATAAACACTAGAAAGTAGATAATAACAATAAATAAACTAACCAAAAGCTTGCAGGGAAAATAAAAAAGAAGTCATTAAGTAAAATGCTTCAAAGGAAGAACAAAATTAGAAAAGCTAATTATCACACAATGCTTCTTCTTCTTCTACTAAAACGTTTTAACGAAATTGGAAGACATAAACTTTATTTTCTTCAACGTCCATCCACAGAAGTGAATGAGTCGGCAAATCCAGATGGACGGGTTGGGATACTTGTCTGTGTATTGTCTTTGCTTCCGTAAACCGAAGACGAAGAACCCGAGTCATCCGCGGTTTGGCTAACTCCCTCGAATTCTTTCCATTTCTGAACCACTTGCGGAAGCGGCATATCGTAGTCTATTCCGTATAGGTCATCGGGGTCGGACTCGGTGGGTTTCCATTGGACGGTGAGTGAAGAAAGGACGTTGACGATGTGAGCCATGTCGGGTCGTTGGTAAGGCTCACGGGCACAGCAATGACCAGCAAGCTCCCAAACTTTTTCGACACTTGCTAAGGTATCTTTGTCGAGGGTAATGTTTGGGTCGATTGCGTTTTTGAAGGCGTTCTCGTCTTTGCTGGCTGCTATCCGACGGAACCATGTCACTAGATGGACACTGTCCTCGGGTTGCGTCTCGTCTAGAGCTTTACGACCGGTGATTAGCTCCATAAGAATGACCCCGAGGCTGAAAATGTCGACTTTGGTAGTCACTCTTCCCGTCACTGCCAAAATCAGACCATATACCAATTACAAAACGATCAAAGCATGAAACTGCCAAGTATGGAACTTTGACATTTGGGTAAGTTTGAAATTTAAGTAAGTTGAAATCAATTGCATACCTGCGTATTCTGGGGCAAGGTACCCGAAAGTCCCAGCGACTCGAGTCTCAATTGAGTATTTGCCTTCAGGGGCTAAACGGACTAACCCAAAGTCAGAGACTTTAGCACGCATGTCATCACCGAGAAGGATGTTTGATGGCTTTAGATCCCTATGGATGAAACTCTGGTGCGCAAGCGTGTGCAGATACTCTACACCTCGAGCTACATCCAATGCAATCGTCAACCGTCTAGTCCAATCAAGAGGTTTTCTCCCTTCTTCTTTCCAATGGAACAAATGCTGGCTCAGTGTTCCCTGTGGCATGTACTCATAGACAAGAAGCCGCTCGCTACCATCAAGGCAGTACCCGAGAAGCGCAACAAGATGACGATGACGCATTTTAGTCAGAACAGTGATCTCGGATTTAAACTCAGTAAGTCCCTTATCACTCACAACCGAAGACTCCATTCTCTTCACAGCTATTTTCGTTCCATCGTGTAGTTCACCTTTGTAAACTGTCCCGAAACCACCTCTCCCGAGAATATTCTCTTCGCTGAAGTTGTTTGTCACATTCCTCAATACCTGTATCGATATAACCAAGTTCCCAGCTTCCACGACGTGAATATCACTCCCTGCACTTCCACTGTGACTGTAACAGCTCTCGCTTCCTCCACCATTGTTAAGACTCGAAGCTGCAACAGTGAGTTTCAAGTCATCATTGTCACCCGAATGATGCGGATGAATCACCATGTTGCTAGTCGGACTCTGAACTTTAGCGGGTCGCTTTCTTTTCTTCGAGTAGAGACAAACACCAAGCCCAACCAGACACAATGCACCCACAACTACGCCAACCACAGGAACAATAATCTTGACACTGCTAGATTTCTTAGAACCTTCGCTACCGCCACTTCCTCCAGACACTCCCTTTCCTCCTGAATCTCCAGTAGAAGAACCACCCGATGAGCTAGGTCCATCCTTTCCAAAGTCAGCATTTCCATCAGTCACCACATTCACATTTGCCCCAAACTTTGGCTTGACTCCGTAAATATTGTTGTTCGACACATCGAGTGTCTTAAGCTTAGGCAATGTGGTAAGCTCGGTCGGTATAGTACCGGAGAGATCATTATCAGAGAGATTGATAGTCTCCAATGAAGTAAGCTTGGCTAAACTCCGAGATATCGTACCCGAAAGACCCTGTTTCCTCAGATTAACCACGGTAATATTACTTCCCGAACAAGTAATCCCAACCCAATTAACACATGGATCGTTTCCTTGCCACGCTTCAGCGAGCTTCACCGGATAACCAAATGATTCAGCTACAGAGAGCAAAATCTCGACACGAGGATCACACGCAACACCAGCTGTATCCAGACAAAAGCTGTTCGTCCCCGGGAACATATCGGCACCAACGGATTTTCCGAACAACGGAGTTGGTCCTTGAAGCAAATTGTTAGTTAAATTCACAGTAGTAAGCGATTTCAAACCAATCAAAGACCGTGGAACAATACCAGTGAGCTGATTCTCTCTTACATTAAACACACGAAGAGATTGTAAACCAGAAAGATCAGGAATTGGACCTGAGAAACCATTTCCTTGCAAAGAAACCTCAACGAGCGAAGTCATATTCCTCAAAATCGATATTGAACCGTTCAGCTTCGTCTCTCCCTTTTGACCATTCAAGTAAAGAGACTGTAACGAAGAACCATCAAAGCTCGAAGGTAACTCACCGTGAAGAAAATTCTGAGATAGTTTCAGATTCGTCAAGCTTGGTAACGTTTGAGATCCGAAGAAATCTGGGATTTTCCCAGTAATGTTACAATTAGAGAGAGTAAGATTCTGCAGAGACGTTGCTTCTTTGATTGTATCTGGAATCTCCCAAGGAGAAAAAGGATTGTTCTCCAGAAACACTTCTTGAAGCGAATTCATCCCTGTGAACAGATTCTTCGGTACCGAATCGAAGAGATTATCGTGTAGATTCAGCGTCTGTAAACGAGTGAGACCAGAGAGATCAGGAATCGGACCAGAGATTTGGTTAAGGAAAAGCTCAAGAACAGTTAATTCAGAGAGATTCTGAAGATTTGAAGGTAGAGTTCCACGAATCCCTTTCTGTTTAAGCTGAATCCTTGTAACACGATTACTACCATCGCATTGAACTGATTCCCATTTACATGGATTAGGGTTAGACCAATCGACGTCTGATGTGAGATTCAGACTCGATTTCAGAGCTTGCATAGTGAGATCATCGAGATTGTTTTGAGAAACGGAGAAACTAGCGAAACCCAGTAAAGAGATGAAGAAAAAGAGAGTACCCAGATGGGAATTCGCCATTGTCGGTGACAAAGTGAAAGGAAAGAAACCCAGAAACTGTAGAGTTGAAAGGAGACGCCTTTTTGGGAAGGGATTTCTTTCTAGGGTTTTACGGTGGCATT